CGGCCCACGCATGTTTGTGCCTCTTCCCTCCCCTTGGGCGGGCCCTGGACTGGAAGCTGGGCTCCCTGAGGAGACAAGGGAAGGAGGACTGGCACTGCCCCTCCCTGTGCCGCCCACCCACCATGGTCACCTGACCCTGACCCCAGACATGTAAATATTCCTCAGAGTTGGAAAAGTCCCATCCTTTCCCTCTTTGCCCCAGGGCCCCTGTTCACCTCTGGCCAGGCCTCAGCTCTGCCTGCGTGTCTCGGCCAGCCTCAGTGATGGCCTGACCTCAGGTGTGAGGCCTTGTGAGTTGAGGCTGAAGAGGCCTTGCTTTGGGAGGCTGGGGTGACGCCTCCCTGCAGCCCCCTCAATGTCTGACTATGGATGTGGACTCCTCAGGTCTGCTGCATCCCTGAGGCCTGCTCGAGGTCTGGCTCAGTGGCCAGAAGGTCCTTCAATGCAGGTCAGCCCTGAGGCTCCCTCACGCTTACCCGCCATCTTGGTATCCAGAGAAGAGCTTCTGGATACCAGGGCAGTGGGCCAGCTCTAGGGCTCTTCCAATCAGAGACTTCATTTGGGGTGGGAGCTGAAGGTCAGGGAAAGTTCTGGTGCTTTTTATTTGTTCCAAGAAGAGCTGAGAGCCAGAAATGTGGATGGGATTGGGAAGGAGATGGAGAGTTTGAGGAATCCATGTAAGACCTTCACTATCTCCATCATTTTCCTCCCAACTCTAATGGGCAGGGTTCATCTGGCAGCCTTCCCTCCTGCCCTGCTCTCCCCATGGCCGCCTCAGAGCCGCTGTCCCCAAGCCACACCCACCGGGCCAGGGAGCAGTGGCCGGGAGCCCCCCCTCTGTGCCCCACTGCCCTACCGCAGAGCAGACACCCTGCCCGTCTCTACTCACTGTTTCCCAGGCAGAGTCAGTCCTCCGCAGAGTCCCTCCCGAGTCTCCCATTCTGCTCCACCACTGTAGCCTCCCTCCCTCCTTATCACTGCAACCTTCTGTCACTCTCAGTGACTGTCCTGCTAGCCCCAGACACAGCAAAGGCCCTGAGAACAGAGGGTCATTGCTCTTCTGAAGCCCGGCCACTCCCCTCGGACCTTGTGATCCACCCCTGTGCTTTGTCCCGACTTCTCTTTCCCCAGGATCTCGCATGTCACACAAGAGGGCCCTGTGGTCACATGTGCACGTTTCTAATGGTCTGGTAGGGTACGGAGGGGTGCCCTGCAGTGGGGGTGTCCCCCACAATCTCCTATAGAGTCCTGGAGGCCCAGGCTGTTGCGGCCACTACCTCACCCAGGCCCCTTGCTCTGGGCAAGAATGCTGGGGGGTATCTGTGGACAGAGCCCTAGACTTGGGCTCTAGCCCCATGCTCTGGCAGCGCCTGGAGCAGTTGTCCTGCTTTCTCCCGACAGACGGCTAGCTCGGTCCACCCTGCTTCTCATCCCGCTCTTTGGAATCCACTACACGGTATTCGCCTTCTCCCCGGAGAACGTCAGCAAGCGAGAAAGACTCGTGTTTGAGCTGGGGCTGGGCTCCTTCCAGGTGGGCACAGCATGCGTGGACGGCAGAATGCCCAGGGAGCTGGGGCCTGGGTTCCTCTCCTCCTTCCTCTGGGTCTCCTCCGTCCCTCTTCCCCTCCCCTTCACTCTCACCTGCTGGGGTCCTGAGGCCTCTCTACCATGACCTCTGGGCTCAGGTAGAGGGTGAGGAGAGAAGGGAGTGGTGAGAGCCTGATGCTACCCACCCTCTGGGCTCCAGCAAGAAGGCACACTGGTGTCTGGATATCCCGGGCCAGGCCCCTGTGGGTGGTCTTAGATGGCAGTTCCCCCTCAGTCTGGGGTGCAAGAGCCCTGTGTGTCCACTTCCTGACTTTGGGCTGCTAGACCATGAGTGAGTACTGGCTTACCCAAGGTGGGGCCCCTCGCACAGGACCTGGCTACAGGGAGCTGAAGCTGGACACAGCAGACCGACACAGGAGGGCATGAGTGCATGAAGGAACAGAGCGTGGGGTGTGAACCAGTGCTCAAGTGAACCCTAGTGAGGACATGGGCAGGTGGGGGCAGCAGTGGGTCACTGATGGCAGGGATGGCTCCCTGGAGGACTCTGGGGTAGCGTGCCTCTTTCTAAGCCAGTAAGTTAGCGTCTGACCTTGATGGTCAGAAAGCTTCTCTGCATCTGACTTGAACCTCCCTCTGCCCCCGTTTTAACTCGGCCATTTCACATGATTCAGGTTCTCGGCCTGGTGAGGCTAGCCGTTTTATAAACAAAGCCCAGCCCAATGTCAGAGCTCAGGGCTCCTGCCACTGTGTTCACTGATGGATCTTGAGCACCTTGAATCATCTGTCCTCTGACTCCTTCAAGTGACAGCACAGGGATGGGGTTTGTGAGGAATTGGGTTGCAGCAGTCAGGGAAATGCCATTGCTTTGTTTGCTGGAGATGTAAGGAATATATACACGCACTATGCCCCCTGTCTTTATTCCACGGGCTGTTCTGTGTTGCCGTGTACAAGACCCCTGGCCAAGGAGGGCCAAGTGGGTAGGGGGTGATGGACGGACAATGCAGGCCTGCTCTGTCCTGGAGGGCCCCTGCTCTCAGCAACCTGCAGGCTGGTTGGGGAGCCCAGGGAACATTTTGGGGCATTCAGAAGGCTTCTTGGAAGTGGGATAACACCTGCCTTTGCAAATGGGAAGATTTGACTAAGGGAATATAACATCCAGGGCCCCGGCTGTCCAGTGGGAAGGGACTCACCCACCAGCTGGCTTCCTGGGTGTCCCCATTATTGATAGAGCAGAACTTGCCTCGTGTCACCCCAGGTCCCTGGGCAGGTGCCCCCATGCAGTCTTGGTGTCTTTGTCACCCACCCCGTCCCTCCCCACATAGCATTTCGGGGGTCCATTACCAGCACCCTCAGGTTCACTTGCTTCTCTCCCTAGGGCTTCGTGGTAGCGGTTCTCTACTGCTTTCTGAATGGGGAGGTAAGATCTGACTCTCAGGCATCTCAACCATGGACGGGGGCTTGCTGGGGAGCAGATGCAGGGTGGGCCTGCTGGCCACATGGCTTATTCCCCAGACCCTGGGAGGAGACTGGAACCCAACAGTGGTACTCCATCTCCAGAGCTGTGGTTTGGGGGCTCCCTCTGTAGCTTATTGGGGTGATGTTCCTGAAGAGACCAGAATAGAGGTGCTGGGGCAGGAGGGGTAGGGTAGGTAGGATGGGTTTGGAGAGGTCTTAGCTGCATGGCCACATGACCTGACAGGGTCCCCTTCCTTGGATCTAAGGAACAAGACAACTGGGCTCAGCGATTTACCAATACCACCGATGAAGGGACAGATGAGGACAGATAAGGAGAGGCAGGGGGGGCCTGGAGACAGGAGCTTGGAGGGCCAACAAGTGGGAGTAGCTCATCACCATTGCAGTTCCCCCCCGATGACTTTGAGGACTGGAGGCTGCTATTGGTAGTGAGCAGGGTGGTGGAGGGATGCCAGCTGGGAAGGACCTCAGGCCTTTGCAGTGTCCGGTGGCTGGAGAGGATGTCCACCCTAAGTGACTGCCTGAGTTGCTCCCTGCAGGTGCAGGCAGAGATCAAGCGGAAATGGCGGAGCTGGAAGGTGAACCGATACTTCGCTGTGGACTTCAAGCACCGGCACCCGTCCCTGGCCAGCAGCGGGGTGAACGGGGGCACCCAGCTCTCCATCCTGAGCAAGAGCAGCTCCCAGATCCGCATGTCCGGCCTCCCGGCTGACAACCTAGCCACCTGAGCCCGCCTGTCCTCCTCTCCTCCACACACAGGCTGGGGCTGCAGGCAGGTGCCAGCCCACGCATGTTTGTGCCTCTTCCCTCCCCTTGGGCGGGCCCTGGACTGGAAGCTGGGCTCCCTGAGGAGACAAGGGAAGGAGGACTGGCACTGCCCCTCCCTGTGCCGCCCACCCACCATGGTCACCTGACCCTGACCCCAGACATGTAAATATTCCTCAGAGTTGGAAAAGTCCCATCCTTTCCCTCTTTGCCCCAGGGCCCCTGTTCACCTCTGGCCAGGCCTCAGCTCTGCCTGCGTGTCTCGGCCAGCCTCAGTGATGGCCTGACCTCAGGTGTGAGGCCTTGTGAGTTGAGGCTGAAGAGGCCTTGCTTTGGGAGGCTGGGGTGACGCCTCCCTGCAGCCCCCTCAATGTCTGACTATGGATGTGGACTCCTCAGGTCTGCTGCATCCCTGAGGCCTGCTCGAGGTCTGGCTCAGTGGCCAGAAGGTCCTTCAATGCAGGTCAGCCCTGAGGCTCCCTCACGCTTACCCGCCATCTTGGTATCCAGAGAAGAGCTTCTGGATACCAGGGCAGTGGGCCAGCTCTAGGGCTCTTCCAATCAGAGACTTCATTTGGGGTGGGAGCTGAAGGTCAGGGAAAGTTCTGGTGCTTTTTATTTGTTCCAAGAAGAGCTGAGAGCCAGAAATGTGGATGGGATTGGGAAGGAGATGGAGAGTTTGAGGAATCCATGTAAGACCTTCACTATCTCCATCATTTTCCTCCCAACTCTAATGGGCAGGGTTCATCTGGCAGCCTTCCCTCCTGCCCTGCTCTCCCCATGGCCGCCTCAGAGCCGCTGTCCCCAAGCCACACCCACCAGAGAGCCCTTAAGCCTTTCCTTTCCCTATTTCCTCTTAAAGCCATGCCTGGGATGAACCAGCCGCTTGCCTGGGATGTCAGTGAACCCCGAAGCACCTTACATCTCTGTACACCTAAGGACGGGGCCCAGGGTTCCCCACCCCTCAGTCTTGCCCCTGAATAATGAGGAGCCCTAGACACAGCTCCTTGGGCCTGGACTCAACTGCTGAAATCTCTCTGAGACCTCTGCAAAGACTTCCCTCTGTGTGCCCTTGACGTTGGGTCACCCCGGGCAGCTAGGGTGTCCAGAGGAGAAGCCGCATCCACTGTGCCCATTAGCAGAAGCTGCTGATGGGAGGAGCGGCAGCTCCCCAGCACCCGTCCTGGCTCCCCATCTGCAGTTATGCAGCCGGAGCCTCAGCAGGGCAGAACCTCGTTCAGGAATCAAAAAAAAAGGAATGCCATAGCTCCCATGGGTCCAGTTCATTCCGTTCAGCTGTTGGTGTTGTTCTTGTCCAAATGTGTCTGTGGACTTGTTTCATGATCGTGCTTGGGGAGTCGGGGTGGAGGCGAATGTTGCTTTGCTTGGTTTTATACAGAGGAAGGGCCTGGGGGACCTAGGGATCTGCTCCTAGAGAGGCTCTGGAGAGATTTTTAAAGGTTCTAGTTGCTGTGGTTTAGAGATAAACCATATTCTTGGCCGGAGAAGTCAGTCCCTGGGTATTTCGGCAAAGCAGAGAAAGAAAGGCGCGACCCATCCTGTCCCAGGCACATTTGGTGACTCGCACTGGCCGTTGCCGTGCAGTGGCCTTTCCACCTTGCGCCCGACCTTCTGATTCCCTGCCCCTGCTCTGAGAGCCAGATGTACATCCCAGCAAGGTCCATTGGCCACCTACACTCTGGACTCGCTACGGGCTGCAGCTGGAAGGAGCCACAGCCCAGGATTTGGAAGCTGGCTTCTGCCTCAGTCAGGCTCAGAGTGCTGGAACTGTGGACACAGTCCTCCCTGTTCTGTGCCTCAGTTTCCCCCTTTGTGGGCTGAGGCTCCTTTCAGTGTTCCTCTAGACGCCGTAATTCAGTAATTTTCCTGTTCAAAGCTGAGACAGATCAAAGGGCATGCATCGTTGTTGTGTATCACGTCAGTTTTGCTGTATATGTATGTGTGGAAGTGGAGAATGCGGTTTGGTTCTCTGCCTTGGAAACAGCTTTTGTCTTCTCTCCCATTTGGGTTCTCTAATGGGGCTGGTGAGGCTATGGACATTTGAGCATGCCTGCAGCATGGCAGGCAGGCCAGCTATGTGTGCCTGCTGAGGTGGGCTGCCCTGACAGGGTGGGCACTGGCCACCTCTGGTACGAGGAACGGTCCCTGGGTATAGACCCCATTCATGTATCATCGCCCACACTCGCAGGTCTGCTTCACCCACACTCGCAGGTCTGCTACACTGTGGAAGAAGAAGCTTGGACTCTGTGGGTTCGTCATCTCAAGACAGCAAAAACAAAACCCACCCGAACCCCACATGCTATGCTGCTTCCTGAGCCCTGGGCCTGCCTCCTCATAGAGATCTGTGTTCCTGTTGGTTTGCTGATTTGTTTTTCTGTCTGACTTTTGGCCAGTCTTGTGAGCAGAAGTGCCTGATGTGTTCGGGATGTTCCAGGAGGCCTGGCCTTCGGGGCCTCAGGCAGTGGAAGGGACCCCATGAGGTCTAGGTCACACTCTTCCCTCTCTGACCCTCTGTTTTCAAATCTGTGAAATGGGCAATAAGACTAGATTATCTGTGCCCAGCTTGGTGCATCTCTGGAATTCACTGTCTCAACACCACACATCTACTTGGTATGGGCCTGGGCAAGGAGTGCAGTGTTTGTCTGGACCAGGAAAGGGCATGAAGTCAGGTGACAAGGGCTTGGGGGACTGGGCAAGGTCAGGCTGGTGAGGAGCAGAGTTGTCAGACTCTGTGCCCATGAAGGGTCATTACGGGGAAGGGAGTTCTTGTCCTGTGCAGTCGCAAAAGACATAGTTCATCATGGGAGGCCGAAGGTTCCTCGGGCTAAAGAAATACCTCATCCCCTGTCATGGCTGTCCGGTCAGCCATGGTACAGGCAGGCAGTGTTGGGAGAGGGCCTCTAGTCCTGGAGGAATTTGGATTCCCAGTCAGGGATGCTACAGCTGTCAGGGAACAGGGTGGGGTCAGAGTGTAGAATCTGGGCTGTTCAGTGGCTTTCTTGGGCTCCCCAGCACTGTGGGTAACAAGACTCTCCACCGCACCAGGGCCCAGCCACAGTCTGTCTCAGTGGGCAGCTCTGTGACCCTTCTTGACATATCAGTGGCTATAGTGGCTTCTTCTCTTTTCTACCCCATTCCTTTTGAACTGGATTCTCCAGGGCCAAGCAGCAGAAGCCTGGCCCAAGGCTTACATATACCTGCAGCCGTCATCACCCACCAAGGACACCAACTCACCTTGACCTGCCCATCTCTACCTGGAAGGGAAAGCTTGAAGAAGCCCTTTTCAATTCCTTGAGTACTTTTGCCCTCTCAAAGACCCTCCAAAGTAAGAACAGGGGCTACTTTTCATCGTAAACTTTTTGAGCCCAGAACCTTGGAACCAGTTAGGAGAGCCCCCAGGGAGGGAGCAGAAAGCCTGGACTTCTCCCAGCTTTGCCCCTAACCTGCTGCTTGACCTTGACTCATTCCCTATGCATCTTGGGGAGAATAGCGAGTTCTAGAGCTAGGAGGGAACTCGAGAATTTGAAGGTCGGACCTCCCTGTTGGGCTAATGAGAAGACGGCGAGGCCTGTTGTTGCCTACACCGTGTTGGTTTCTGTTGTGCTTCGTACATCTGAATGAACAAATGGCCCGGCCATAGGTGCACGGCCTTGCTGTGAGCCGGAATGTGGCCCTCAGAGCAACCGTACAGTAAGTGCTGGAATGGGCACAGGAGGGGGGCTCTGGCACAGACAGGTGTTCAGGCCTCCAGACCACAGGAGTAATGGGGTCCCCGTGGTGCAGGGAGAGCTGCCTTCTCCCTGGCTTTATCCCTTCTCTGTGGTCCCAAGTTTACCTCTCTGGGCCCCCATCTCCTAATCTGAGAAACAGAGAGGACATGACTGTGTCGTCTGCCCCTCAGGACAGGGATGAGGCTGAAGGGAGAAGTCCCATGTGTGAAAGGGCTTTGGAAACTATGCAGATGCGGTTCTTCGTTGGGGTGAAGAACCTTGAAAAGGACTCCTTGCGGTTTGGCCACTGCTTTGACCCCTTCTGGGTCAGCCTTTGTCCATTTGTTAAACCACCAGCACTAGAGGGCAGGGCAGGCCAGAGGGCTCTGACGGACACACCATTCTGCTTTATCTTTGCCTGCTGGTTCAGTTTGCTCTCGGGATTAGAATGGGGAGACTTCCCTGAGGGTGATGTTAGCCTTTCTCTGCCATCCTCAAGGGTTTGGGACATTCTTCAGATGGGCTGCTCGCCCGTTCCTTCTCCTTTTCCTGAATTTGAGGTCCTGGGATGTGTCTGCTTGACCAGGTGTGTCTTGTCTGCTGTGCGTCTTTGTAGCTTTGCTCCCGTTAAGGCTCAAGTGGTGCAGCCCCTGGCCTCCCAGTCGTGGCTCCAGGCTCACCCGTGGGAGCTGGACTGGCCTGGGGTTCATGTCCCACCATAATGATGAGCCCCTCGGACCTCACTGCTACTGCTGCTGCCATTAATGCTGTGCTCACAATCTTGTCCAGGATTTTAAGGATGTCAAACTGCTGTCGATGACTCAATAAATGTCTTTTCATTTTTTCTGGTTGCTGTGACTTGATAAAGGCAGAGGGCAGGGAGGAGACTAGGTGGAAGGAGAGTGGTCCCCACATTTGAGTACCCCAGAGAAATTCAATCTGCGAGGTCTGTGGCCTTTTAGATTCCAAGGAAGTGTTATGAGAATGGGCCCAAAGGAGCTTAGAATGGGCTCAAAAAAATAAAGAAGTACGGGCCTCAAGAGAATTTATAAGATCATGCAACTTGAGTGGAATCAGGATCACTCACACATCTTGGGTTCCTGGCATTGGAATCAGCACACCCCATAGTCTTCGATGCCTCATGACTTTCACATGTCCTATAGTGGTGGCCACTGTCTAATCCCAATTCATGTCTACAGGGAGCATTTCACCCCAGGTCATCACAGTTCCATCCATGGCTATCAGAGTCACCTTCCCTAATGTTCTACATGTTCAGAGCTGTCGCTCCATGTTAGACCGGGTAGCCAATTCTAGGTAGCCTTCACTTCCTTGAAGTTCTGTTGATTGTCACAACTCCAGTGCCCATTTTTTATATTGGAAATTTAGTTGCTACCAACAGCAGGTACTTACAACTGATAAATCAGAAAAGGAATTTATGTAAAAGATGTTGAGCAGCTCATAGAAGTCTTGTACAGCTGGAGAATTTTGAAAAGATGATCGAAGCCATATCATGCCACAGAACTGCCACCAGTCCAGTGATGTCTCTTCTGTGCCAGGGACTGACACCGTTGCATTGTTTGAGCTACAAGGGACACTGGAAATTTGACTGATCTTGATTTTACCTTGGGGAGGTTATTAGGCTCATAAGACTGGAGATTTCCTAAACATTAGAAAATAATTAAGTCCTGGGAATAACAATTGTCCACTTCAACAGGCTTGAGCTCTACAGCAATCACTAAGCTGGCCCCTTTTAGCATACAGTGTACCATTCTGAAGTCAAGCCAATGGAAAGATGCTAATCCCACAGCATGTGAGCTCTACAACCAGACAGACCACACAGCCCCCTCAATTGTTTAGTGGGGCGTTTCAAGCAGGGGATCTGGTTAGTTGCTCCTCTTCATGTCCACCTCTTCTTTTAATCCTAAGGATCATCAAGCTATCTAATATGACACACTTAGTAGACACCTGGAGTAGCTTCCTTCAAAGCCCTCTGTTGATCTGTCAGACTCTCCTGGCTGCTCCCACAGAAGATATCCCTCATGTTTAGACCTACATTAGTCTCACTGATGAGACCACGATGAGTTGAGGTTCTACATACTTTATTTCTAGAAAAAGGTTACACTCAAGAAGCAAGGGCAAAGAGCCAAAAGTAGGTTTAAAAAGCTTGAATTACATTTTAAACTTGAATTTCTTGGCAACTGTGAAGATCATCAAACGACAGTCCATGTAAGTTAAATCCTGTTTCCCATGTCCACCCACCCCCCCCCAACATTAAGTGACTGTTCCAACTCTCTTTTTGCCTGAGCCTTTTATAAGTATGCCTTGAACTCTGCTTATTTATGATGGTGCACTGTTTCATTGGTGGTTTAATTCTTAGGAATCCAATGGTTTGGATTCCTAACCTGCATCAAAAGCACCCCAGGGATTGTGAAAACACAGAGAGCTGTGTACTCCTGTAGAATCAATAGTTAAAGAGAGCTGTGTACTCCTGTAGAATCAATAGTTCAGTAAGTCTGACA